CAGCCAGACCGTTGGTGGAAGGATGGAAAGGAGCTGAAGCAGCGTGGCGGATCATGTTGGTCCGGAGAAATGCCTGAAACTCAGTAGAAGTAAATTGAGGACCGTTATCCGACACTAGAACATCTGGCAACCCATGTGCAGCAAAAATGCTCCTTAACACCTGGATAGTCTTGGCAGCTGTGGTAGAAGACACAGGCACAACCTCCAGCCACTTGGAATGGCTATCAACAACAACCAGGAAGAATTGACCCTGAAAGGGCCCAGCGTAATCTACATGTATTCTAGACCATGGAGTGTGTGTTTCCTCCCACCTGTGTACAGGGGCCTGGGGCATTTCAGGTCTGGACTGTTGGCAGGTATGACATCTATGTACTTGGGACTCAATGGCCCGATCAATGCCAGGCCACCACAGATGGCTGCGAGCAAGCACCTTCATCCTTACAATTCTAGGGTGACCCTCATGTAATGAGACCAAGATTCTAGCCCTCAATGAGGCCGGGATCACAACTCTCGATCCCCAGAGGAGGCAGCCATTGAAAGTGGACAACTCGTGCCTCTTGACCCAAAAACGTTGAAATTCCTCTGCAGGGCACCTGTCAGGCCACCCTGAAAGAACCCATGACAGCACGCGTTTGAGCGTGTGGTCAGTGGCAGTTTCAGCAGCCACATCCCTAGCATTGAGGGGGCATTCAGGCAACTCCTGAATGGGCAATATGTGTACAGCAGGAGCGGGATCAGGCTCCACAGTAGGTAATGGCAGCCTACTCAAAGCATCTGCATGACCCATTTCCTTGCCAGGCTTATGGACCAGTGAATAGTCATAAGGTGAGAGGAAGATGGACCAACGGAGCATACGAAGGGATAGGATATGAGTAGTTTGTTTGGAGGTGGTAAACAGCCCCAGTAAGGGCTTGTGGTCCGTGAAGACCGTAAAATGGCGGCCATAGATGAAATCATGGAACTTTTTAATACCAGCCACCAAAGCCAAAGCTTCCCTATCAATTTGAGCATAGTTGTGTTTAGCAGCAGATAAAGTCCTAGAATAGTAAGCCACAGGGACCTGAGTCCCATCAGCCATCAAATGGCTAAGAACAGCGCCCACATCGTAGGGTGAGGCATCACAAGCCAGGCACACTGGCAACTGCTCATTAAAATGAGCCAACACCGCATTGGATGTAAGCAAAGCTTTGACCTCATTGAAACTGGCCTCATGGACCTTGGTCCAGCGCCAACACGCATTCTTGTCAAGGAGCCTGTGCAATGGCTCAGCAATAGCAGCTTTGTGAGGTAGAAAGGCATGATA